CGGGGTATCTTACTGCAACCACTGCATGGTATGTAACAGGACTAACTCTGGAACTGGAGGGAAGCATTAACCCCCAAGCATGGATGTCACTCACACCAGCGGTTTGGGAGTTTAAGGTTGCTTGTATGTCCCCAGCCATGGGCAGGAGGGTAGCGGCATGTTGCAAGATCCAGGCAAGGCGCACAAGAGACCGTGGAAGATTGAGAACAGCACCCTCCAGCAGTTCCGGTTCTAAGACTTTTTCTTTCAAACCGGGGTTGCAAACAGCAACCAGGGTTGCCAGTTTGCAGGGTGTTTGCAGGCAGCATCAAAATCATCATCCCAGCGGGCGAGAGCTGGATAGAAATACCAGCCGTAGTGGCGGAGTTTCATACGCTTTGAAATTGGCTCATGAAGCCATTCATTGACAATGATGCTCCGCTACCATCTGCCAGCAACAGGAGCAGCGCAAGCCGCGAAGAAATGACTTCCTACATGAAGGGCAGGCTCAGGGTGGGCGGGACAGAAAGCTAGCAGCAGCTCATTAATGTTGACAATCACATCGTGATGGCAATCACATCGCCGAAACCTGTACCAAAAACAAGCATGGACTTGCCATGCTCTTCAACTCAGTTGCAAACGCAGCACTTCTTTTGCGCTGTCACTCGGTCAGTCAGGTCATCGTTGCAATCCTTCTTTGGATTGGTCAGCCATCTTGTCCAAACGCCGTCTGTGGCGTAAATTTCCACCCCAAGACTATGGGTCCCATGAGTCTGGGCGAAGGCGGCAATCTCAACACAGACAACCACAACCTGGAAAATTGCATCTGTTCGAACGCAAGCTGAGAAATGTCAAGGTTGGACCTTTGAACATCGTCTTTGCCATTCCCTGGGTGGGGCCGGGTGGGGGTCGCAGTGCTCTATTTTGTCTACAAAATGGCTTTGGGGCCACTTCTCCAGCCTACAAAATGGTAGGGCCATAGAAAGTGGGCACTTCATGGCGTACAAAATGGTGGTGCCTGTCAACTGTCATCTTTGAACGGCAATTTCAAAGCGCAATCAACTATATAATATTACCCTGGAACTAGACGCGAAATCAAATAATACCACTATCACTCTCAATCTTTCAATGCTCAAAGTGATGGTATGTTGAAACACGAAAAGTAGGATGATAATAATAGCCCCATCAAAAATGTCACACGCAAACGCAGAAACCATCACTGGACGCTCTGGTTCGAAATCACAGGTGGGGCCGCCCAAAAAAAAAAAACGTTCTGGCCCCAACAGGTGTCCCACAGGTGGCACAGTGTGAAGTAGCAATGTGGCATCCAGAAAGTCATTAGTTGTTTTCCGGGCAATGGAAGGACCTAGATACCAAACCTTCAAGGCTCACTTCTTTTCCATCCGACGCAAAACTTCTCGGCTGGCACGCGTTCTGGCTCACAAGCTAGAAACTACTCAGTCAACATCCTGGGCCACATCCTCAACTGGGGCTTCCTCCTCGCCACCTTCAAACGAGAGACCATCAGCAGCCTCACCGTCTGCAACCCCGCCGTCAGCCCCAGCAGCTGCACCAGGAGCTGCTGCTGCGTCTGCCATTCGGCCGGCACGAATCTTCTCCAAGGCTGCCTCCTTCAAAGAAGCCTCAGAGCCGGAGACTGGAATGAAAATGTGCTACTTTGGGCTACAATGTTCAAACCATAGAGCGAAGAGCGAACATTGATCAAAATTTGAGAGCTGAGAGCGAGGCCGCCATGACTTTCCCATCTTCCTTGGACATGCCTTTCTTGAGGTGATCAACCATCAAGTCCTTGGAACCAAAACTCGTTCAATCAATCCTTGCAAACAATTTGATTTGTCTCAAGTAAAACAATCTGCAAATTACTGTGCTGATTTCATCTGGGTTTGAAACTACGATTTCCATGAGCTTCTCATCCGGGAGCTCGTCATGCTTATGAACCTGCGCTGCAGATGCTATCTGCTATCATTCCTCTCGCCGGAATTTTCAAAAGAGGCCCTTCCCACACTGCAGCACTGACTCTGTTCCGGCCTGAACGTACTCCCTGCCGTTCACAGAGATTGCCCAAATTCCCTTCTTGGTGTAGGGGTACTTTTTGACCTTGAGCTCGCCCGACGGACTTGGCAAGTTGGAAGCTGGCCTCTTGGCTGGCTGGGCTGACCCTGCAGACGACGCTGGACGTTTCAATGCCTTCTTGGGGGCACTCTTTGTCTTAGCTTTCAGCTTCGAACCCTCCTCATCAGAAGCCTCACTAGGACCAGGAGACTCAGCAGGAGGATCAGCAGCGGGAGGCTCACTGTCATCAGGAACCTTGGCAGTCTTCTTCTGTTTTTTGGCCGCCGTCTTGGTAGTAGCCGTCTTAGTCTTGGCAGCAGCCCCCTTGCCTTTGGCAGGTGGCTTTTTCGGAGCAGCCACCTTGGGTTCAACTTTGGTCACAGGTGGTGCAGCCTCCGCATCCGATAAAGTTTCAACAGGTTCCAGGGCCGACATCCCAAGAGCGACACCGGGCCAAGCAGCATAAGAAGCTAAAATCTTGCGATACATTGTGTCTAGTATGCGTGACACACGCAAAATCATACAATGTTCAATGACATGTGACATTGATGTGAATTCGACGTCTATCAAGCTACAATTTAAGCGCACATTGCACGCCACCACTACGGTGCAAAACGACTTGCACCAGCGGCACTTTTCCAACACATCCCCTGGACTGCCAAAGTTTGAGCCATTGGCCGGTTCATATGCCCACATGCGTTGACCTCACCTACACAAGCTTTACGCACGAATGCGCTTCAAGGGCTAGCTTTCCCACTAACCAGAACTTGGGCTTGATTGGCTTCACCAGCGTGTGATCTGTTGATACCTCGGCGGCGCGTCTGCAAAGTCTGGTCTAATAAATGTCAAATTGTGGGGAATTATTGTTGCGAAATTGTTGGCAAGCACATGATTTAGCCGGCATAACATCGCAAAATAATGATTTAAAGCCGGTTTCAAAATTAAACCTGTTGCGTCCACAGTACTTCCCATGCCAACTGGGCCTGCGTCGTTGGGAGCTTCCCAAAATTTCCAGCAAAGATCAGGCCAAACAAGGTGGGGCGGACAGCCAAGCGGTCCACCGAATCTGCCAAGGGCTTGTGCTCATACACGTTGGTCCGCCCATTCACTTGAACATCATAACGAAAAGGCAACGGCTCATTCTCCTCGAGGGGATGGCCGCCAGCCAGCCAGCCCACACCCGAGAATGATAGCTACACTTCATGTACGAAGGCCCCTTCTAATACATGCAATGTTATATTAACTAAGCATGATTCAATCAAGTCCTGGACGCGCTGCGTCAAACTGTGATCCACGAGGGTCATCTCAGTCAGCCCTTGCCGCTGCGCCGCTTGGCACGCCATCTCAGAGATACATGTCGGCGACTTGCCAGACTCTGCGACTTGGATGACGACATCCGTGTCCTTGTTCAAAATCCATGGGATGTACTTGTCGCCCTCACTGCGAGCCGTTCCTCCAAAGCAAAACATCATCGTGCAAAACATTGGAACTGGGTTGCGGTCATGCTGGACAATGGTCAATGACTGAAATTAAATATAACAATATATCGCCCAGCCTGCCGCTTTGGCAACATAAGCTCCCATACCGAAGCCAAACAATTCGCAAGCATCCAGCTCGATCAATTCGTCGGTGTCATTGAGAAGCCAGAGTTCATAAGTGTCCGTGGCCACAATCCCGACCTTGTCGATGCCAACAATGGTGCTCTGGCCAATGACCCTGGCAGCCACCATCATTATTGATTCAGAGAAAACTAGTTGGATGCAGGGTGGCCTTGACAAGACAGCCTGCTGCTACTTTGGATCAATGAGTCATTTTCAAAGACAAGGTGCACTTTGTCAGCGCTGAAAGCGTCTTCGGACAACACCGTTGCTGGCTCAATGACTTTCTGCAAGTTCTTGGGCTGGTCAGCGGCGGTGAAGGCAGGCGAGCAGCGCGTGCGTCTGGGGGTTGAACGTTCACCTCTTGAAGGTGTTGGAGTTGGAGGCTGAGACTCTGAACAGTTGCCACGCATTGTCAAGGAATGATCCTCATTCCAAACCTGCAGTGCTTTGGTGAACTTGGCGCTGCAATGCCCCAGCGAGGCCAGGATGGAATCCGGAAGCCTTGGCACCGCAGCTCAAATGTGACAGCGAAGGTTTGCAAAGGAACCTCTTTGTGACATACTTACCATCTCAACCACTGACTTTTTCTTATTTCTTGACTGCATTTGAAAAACTTCAAGATGTTCTTCTCGGAATCTACTGCCAAGACTTCCAGCTGCGGCTTCACTTCTTGGAACTGCTCTCCCGGACGGGATTGCGGGCCGGCTTCGGCTGACTTGTCCCACCATTCCTGAAACTCTTCTCCACAATGCAGGGCGCAACATGGCAATGGCAAAACTTTGATAAATAATGTCTGAAATTCCAAGTGTCGTGTGGAAATCAAATGACTAAGCTTCTGACTGAGTACATGATGCCGCTCATGCTGTTTGCTGCAGCTTTCATATCAGTAGCCAGTCCCCAATCAGAATCCTCATCATAGTAGCAAGTATAGCGCCAGTCATGGCCACGGCCAGACTCTTTGCAAGCCTTCTGCAACTCCCACACAGCGCGGCCCCACTCGTTGAACCTGCAACAACACCGATGGCAAATGAAACGCTCAATGCTGCTCGAAACTGACTACAGAAAGCTGGGGGCTATCAGCGTGCTAGTTTCTGCATCCTAATTTCAAACTTCCTGTGTGGGCAAGTCACTTGTTCGGGGTCAAATCGGTGACAAACACCCGTGAATCAGGCGGGATGTCCAGACCATCAGTGAGCTTGAGCAAAATCTCTTTGGTTCCAATGACGCCGCGCTGCTGCACCTGGGACCCAGCAGTATTTACTGCAATTAAGGACATACTGCTTGACACAACATTACAGGAAACCAAGGATGAACGTCCCTTCAAGGCAACAACTCAACTCTGCGCAGTCAAGACTCACGATGCGCAGGGGAACATGGTCTGTCAGCATCGTCCGAAATCAACTCTGTAACTCGAGCCCGGGTGATGGGACCCAGAACTCCCAAAAAGACATGGCTCTTGCTGAAACCAAAGGTCTTGTGCAAGCTACTCACTGCTGCAAAGCCTGGGCTAAGAGAAAACAAACAGGCAGAATGCCCAACAAAAAACAATAACACATTCACAGTCAGACTGCGCTGCGGCGTGACTCTGTTATCTAACTCCAAGAAACATGGTTGGGATCGTTTCCTCTTGTCGCCACCGTGCCCGGTATCACAGAAGGTGAGGCTCACATCAGTGATGTCCAACGAACTCAGTCAGAAAACCACTTCAAGTAGAGGTGGGGATGGACATGTACGAAGCCGCAAGCACTAGTTATACTAGTTTTAGAGTGGTGTCACTCACATAGCGGAACGTATCAGACCAATCCACATGCAGCAAAGAATCGCCATCATCTTGTCTTCAAGACAACGACGATGGGAAATGACACTCGACTGGTCCGTGCTGGGATGAATCTGCGGGGCTAACACAAAAATCACTGCGTTCGGGTTTGCGCAGCTGATGCTCTTTGCGACGTCCAGGGCATCATCGACCAACACACTGCCTTGATTTATAGACAAATTTTGTCTAAGCAACGACTGCGTTGCTCAAAAGTTCGCTTGCAAAGCTATTTCTTTAACGTGCACAATGACAAGCGACGGCTTGGCCACACAGTCGCATCCAAAATCATGATGTTCAACCTCAAGCTTGGCAACTTGACAAACTCACTTAAACTTAAATTTGCTGAATTCACAGGCTGCAGGCAAGAAACGAGCTTGGCGTTCCACCACAGTCAGATTGAAATTGCAGCAAGTCTGCATGTGCATCTGATAGGCTTGGCACCCCTTTGTACCTGTGAGTTTTGCCCTGAAGTGCGGCGACTGCCCTGCGCCCCTCTTCGCAGCGCCGTGACAAGTAGGCCATGTCAAGCGCCCCCTGTCAAAAGCCACTCTCTGGCAAAAGCATCCAAAATGGAGCAGGTGTGAATATGACAGGACAAACACTAGCAACAGCAACAATGGGATGCACCAGGTGTGAAGGAGAAAGAAAATCTTAACACCAACAACGGGACTTATCGGGATTTGGCACCTGCCGTGCTGCAAAATCAGCGGCTCGAGCAAGCTACCCCTCCATAAGCGCAAAATCATTGTTCATCTTGAGTTCGGTGCTTTCACTGGTGATCTCGACCATTCGTTTGGCCAGCCTGAAAAATGATGATTAAAGCATATTAAAGCAGGATTCTTGGGACTCTTGACGCAACTGACCACTAGCAGTCACTAGCAGGCCATCCAAGTTGCTCTTCAGAAGCCTTCACCTTTTCGTCCTCAGCCTGGAAGAGCTTGCCAAGCAACTGCAAACTACAAACCTGGAACAAAGTGATCCTTGAACAAAGTGCATCCTGCCTGTCTCTGAAATTTTGCAATGGCTGTACGAAAGATCCCACACCGCTCCAAATCAACTGGCGGAGCTCCCTCCAGCATTCCCACCAGCTCTGCGTCACCATGTTTCAAATCAAACCTCAGGAGCTGAATGGGTGTTGGATCGAAACAATGCTCGTGAACGAGCAGGCGCCCAAAAAGTGCTGCCAGGGAGCGACCGTTTGATGCGAGGGCGCTCCTTTTCCACAAAGTCAATTGGGAACTCAGATTCGAAGCGGCTCATGCAAGCCAGAAAAATTGCACTGCTGCGTTGGTAGTATTCCTAGGCTGGATCATGAACAGTCATTGGGTATGAGAATCATGGCATGGGTCAAGCTTGTCAAGATTTGGGGTACAAGAAAATCAAGCCTGCAGAATTGCACTTGACATGAAGGAGTTTGACGACCACACTTCGTGTCACCAAGACAAACACTTCAACTTCAGGCCGGCCTTTTAAACATGGTAGCCGACACTGTGCACTTGCTAACAAGGGTCAACATCCTTCAGGGTGAAGGCTTTGCGCATCTTTGGAGCCAAACTTAACCAATCACGAGACATCCGGTCGACCGTCATGTCCAGAATCTGCTCGGTGTTGGTCAGGGTTTCTTGCCAGGCTTGCATTGTGTCTGTGGCACTGCAATAGTTCTGGTTCCAAGCGCCCGCAGCTATGCTCTCATGAGTCAAGAACTTGGCCATTGAATGTTGCCTTAACTAAACAGCAAGTGGCGATCTACAACTTCAAAAGCAATCCAGAACTGCAAAACGCACAGGACAGATGTTTTGTTCAGGTGCTGAACCAACTTCGACAGTCTCAATGCAATCCTGGGAGAAACGTCATTGTAAAGGTGGAGTGCAGCCTGTGACTCCGCCTTGCCAACGACATAGGCTTCTGAGATCTCACACGCTTTTGCCCAGACCTGATGGCGCTTTCGCGCAGCACATTGACCCCACCTTGACATTCAAAAACTTTAGCCTGAACCAAACACCTGGCACCTGGCCTCTTCTCCATCCTTCAAAGAGTTGAACTTGCGAAGTAGGTTCATTTGATGCAAAAGATTAAATGCATTCGGCTTCCTGCGCAACTGGCTCGCCATTGTGGACCCTGCACGGGGGCACGCCGGAATGCACTGGACTTGAATTCTCTATACTGGACGAAAGGGAAAGCAGGGAAAGCAATTCACAGCAGCAACGGCCTCTGTTTGAGCTCACAAGAAGGTGGGGCTCGTCAATCACCACAGTAGCATGAATTGTAGCGAAGGACCTGGGAGACAAAATCTCACCATGACTATCACCAGTCAAATTTCCTGGCAAAACCGGGGCATATAGTAGCGAAACCGGTTGTTGAGCTAAGATTCTCCTTGATGTCTCGTGGCAATGCCTCCGATTCTGTCAAATAACAAATTTGCCGTAGCACTGCCAAATGCATTAATTCACTGTGGCTGAAAAAAAAAATGTCACCTTCACCCTGGGGCACCTGGTGGAACTCCGGGCTCTCAAAGGCAGCCAACAAGATTGTCAGCAGTGAAATCCCTCGACTCCATCCTTTCACAACAAAGACATCTGTCGGTGACAACATGCCATCGCACTCCGGAGCAACATCATTGGCTGAGAGCTTATGCGTCGGGGCAGCAACCGAAGGATCCACAAAAGTGATGGCAATCTTTTCGACTCCCACTGCATTGGCATCCGTCGTGCACCTGGCCGCCAAGCATTGATATTGACTTGCCAAAATTCCTACAAAAAGGCATGTCAAGTAACAGCGTGTTGCCCACAACTTGAAATTTGCAAGGTTTGAATTTGAGCCAGGCACCCGTGGAGCAGCATCAATTGGCACAGTTGCAGGTGGGTGTCCTTGTGACTAACAAGTGCCTTCTCGACTGCAAGTTTGACACCCATGCCCATTTTAGCTTTGAGATGTTGAAAAAATAAGTCAAGACTCCGGCTCTACCAGACCTTTGCATCCCATCTGCGGCTCCCATGGCAAATGCCAGGGCCGCAAGTAGGCGCTGGAATTGGCACACTTCAGAATCGTAGGGGCCGAATACTCCCTGAAAGGCAAGGTAGAGGGAGCGCAAGAAAAAAAACGGAGAATAGCACATGAACAGTGAATCAGAAGACTAAGCGTTGCAATCACAGACTTGAGGCAGCGGCACATTCTTTGTAGGGGGAAAATGCTCGTCGACAAACCGCACAAACTGAAGCAATCCTTCCTTGGAAGTGCGCAGCATGACCACTTTAATAAACTGAATGGCTTCAACACACGTGGGACCACGATGCTGTCCTTCGAATTGAACTTCGCGGCCATGTACTCGCCAATGCTCTGGGACTGTTCCAAGCGATTTGACCTCGTGGAAGTTTCACGTGCAAGACTTGCTTTCCGAGCAACCTGAAGACAAAGGTGGCAACACATGTATACTAGTTCATTTACTGTTCCTTGCTGCAACTTAGACACAGCCATGCCCCAAACATTTTGACATAGGCCAATTCGGCAGGTATCTCCAGTGTGGTTTCTTCCTCCTTGACCTTTTTGAACTTCAAGGGCTTGGTCCCATCAGCGGACAATCTCCGCTTGTTCGACATGGTGTCGGACACGTCGGACACCAACCAAATGGAGAAATGGAGAAATGGCTGCAGGGATACAAAGTCAAGGGTGCAAGGTCGGAAGGTGGAACATCAGTGTGTATAATGCCATGCATCACGAGCACACTGAAACATCAAGCCGGCTGTCTCAAAATTGATCCATTTTGTCAGAGGGCAGCGATGACTTGTTTGCCCTTTGGTGCCAAACTGAATTACAAATTTCGATTTGGTAATGGTCCCGTGTGCGATGACACGTGTGGCACCCAAAGCGCTCACTGAGCTATCCACCGACCCATGGGCAGGAACCTGGCAGCAAAATGAAATAAAGGACATCAGAAAATAAAACCCGTCCCTTTCAAACCGATTTGGCGTTCCATGTTGCAAGGCAACCCTGTGGAAAAAAGGATCAGACTAGCATTGACACCAGTCACCGCAACACTGACCCAAGTTTAGGTTGGATTTCATCAATGAATTTGCGCTGTCAAATGCTGAAATCCAACCAAAAAAGGATGGTTCAAAAAACCTGTGTGTTTCCAATTTTTGTGTCAGATCATGACGGCATCCCACACACATGGAAAACTACCTTGTACTTAATCCATTTCGTGAAATCTGTTGACTTTCATTTGTCCCGATGGCATAGGCCCTAGGTGTCCATGCCGCGCCTAATTTTTTTGACTTTTTGATACTTTCTATGCAAAAAATGTCAAAAAGTTGCATGGAAACTTGATTTTTGAATTTTTGTTGAATGATGATTTTAGCCGACAAAAAATCATGGCTCACAAAACCTTTGTGTTTCCAAATTTTGTGTCAGATCACGACGGCATCCCACACAAATGGAAATTTACCTTGTACTTAATGCATTTCGTGAAATTTGTTGATTTTCATTTTCCCGATGGCATAGGCCCTAGGTGTCCATGCCGCACCCAATTTTTTTTGACTTTTTGATACTTTCTATGCAAAAAGTTGCATGGAAACTTGATTTTTGTTGAATGATGATTTTAGCCGACAAAAAATGATGACTCAAAGAACCTTTGTGTTTCCAAATTTTGTGTCGGATCACGACGGCATCCCACACAAATGGAAAATTACCTGGTACTTAATGCATGTCGTGAAATTTGTTGATTTTCATTTTTCCCGATGGCATAGGCCCTAGGTGTCCATGCCGCACCCAATTTTTTTGACTTTTTGATACTTTCTATGCAAAAAATGTCAAAAAGTTGCATGGAAACTTGATTTTTGAATTTTTGTTGAATGATGATTTCAGCCAACACAAAAATCATGGCTCAAAGAACCTTTGTGTTTCCAAATTTTGTGTCGGATCACGACGGCATCCCACACAAATGGAAATTTACCTTGTACTTAATGCATGTCGTGAAATTTGTTGATTTTCATTTTTCCCAATGGCATAGGCCCTGGGTGTCCATGCCGCACCCAAATTTTTTGACTTTTTGATACTTTCTATGCAAAAAGTTGCATGGAAACTTGATTTTTGTTGAATGATGATTTTAGCCGACAAAAAATGATGACTCAAAGAACCTTTGTGTTTCCAAATTTTGTGTCAGATCACGACGGCATCCCACACAAATGGAAAATTACCTGGTACTTAATCCATTTAGTGAAATTTGTTGATTTTCATTTTTCCCGATGGCATAGGCCCTAGGTGTCCATGCCGCACCCAATTTTTTTTGACTTTTTGATACTTTCTATGCAAAAAGTTGCCTGGAAACTTGATATTTGTTGAATGATGATTTCAGCCAACACAAAAATCATGGCTCAAAGAACCTTTGTGTTTCCAAATTTTGTGTCAGATCGCGACGGCATCCCACACAAATGGAAATTTACCTTGTACTTAATGCATTTCGTGAAATTTGTTGATTTTCATTTTTCCCGATGGCATAGGCCCTAGGTGTCCATGCCGCACCCAATTTTTTTTGACTTTTTGATACTTTCTATGCAAAAAGTTGCATGGAAACTTGATTTTTGTTGAATGATGATTTCAGCCAGCAAGAAATGATGACTCAAAGAAGCTTTGTGTTTCCAAATGTCGTGTCAGATCACGATGGCATCCGACGCAAGAACCCAAACCAGTTTTGTTTTCAAATTTTGTGTCGGATCACATCAAGATCTGACACACAAATTGTCAACAGCAAGTGCGTTTCTAAATTTTGTGTCGGATCCCATCAACATCCGACAAAAAAAACAAAGCCTGTTGTGTTGCCAAATTTTGTGTCGGATCCCATCAACATCCGACACAAAAAAAACAAAGCCGATTGTGTTTCCAAGTTTTGTGTCGGATCCCGTCAACATCCGACACAAAAATCAAAGCCTGTTGTGTTTCCAAATTTCATGTCGGATCCAAATTTTGTGTCGGATCCCATCAGCATCCGACACAAAAAAAGCAAAGCCGGTGGTGTTTCCACGTTTTGAATCGAATCCCATCAGCCTCTGACACAAAAATGAAAGTTACCAAGCTTTAAATGCCGACTCAAAAACCTATGTGTTTCCACATTTTGTGTCGGATCCCATCAGGATCCGACACAAAACGAAAATTACCTTGTAACGTGCATCCCGCGAACATTTGGTGGTGACCATGTTTTCCTGGAGGCACTGGACAAGTCAGCTATACAAAAGCTGCAGCGTGGGGAAACAAATCTATCACAAATACCATCCGGGCAAACTCAAGAGTTTTAGAGTCTGATCCCAATAGGATTCATCACATTTACAGCCGGATTTGGCAGCAACTTGCTCAAAATCAAAAATCAGATCAATAAAAAGCACGCTTGGCTGAAAATCCATTTGCTTTAGAGTTGGATCCCAGTAGGATTAGACTCAAACACTGCTACATCTCAAACCAGCGGTTTTGAGTGGGATTTTACCTCCCCGGCTCACGCAAAATGTGTCGATGAGACATGGCTCGGTAGTCGCAAAATGTTTTGTTGTTACACATTCAAGCATGGCTTCGTTCTTTAAAAATATGAATCTGCATTGCTGACATCAAATCAAGTTGCGGTAGCACAGGAATCAAAGGCTTCCTTCACAATTTCAAAAGCTTTGGGCCATGGAAGCCCTTCAGACCACAGCTTTGCTGCAGCTTTGAACATGTGGTACTTCTCAGTTTTGGACTTGTATCTCGCAAGGTTTGCCCTGGGCATCCTTTCATGGACCATATCCATCCTGTTGAGCGCCTCACAGCCGTCAACCGTGCAAAATTAAAAGAATGCAACCAGCCAAGCGCAATAGAAACGAATTCCAAATGAATTTTGCCATTGATTTTTCATATAGGCTTGCACTCAATGCCAAGGCACCGGTTGCAAGTCAACAGCCGGGCGAACACCACCTCCATCAAAACCATGCCCCACTGCTGGGCCAGGTGATGGCAAGATCCTGCATGGCGCAGAACATGTTGGATGGGAAGGACAGAGTGGAAGTAGACTGGGACATTCACCGACAAAAATTTCCAACAAACAACATGCCTTGGCTTGAACTACCCGGCAATAAAATGTTTGAAGCGGCCTGTCAGCTTCCAGCGGCTGCCCGCGCTGCAAATTCCCTTCAGCAAGAGCCTGCAAATGGTCTGCCGCCGCGTCCAGGCAGAACGGCTCCGCTCCTAGCAGCCGGGGGTGCTAAAACTTACTGACAGTTTTTAAATTTCCGTGCAGGGCGGGAGAACCCCAATATGAAATAGGGATCCTATATCCATTTAGTGTTGAGAACACCTTTTTCACGGCATATCTTTTTTAAGCATACCATCAAATTTGGTCGCAACGATTGGCAAGGGTTTGAGAAAGATGCTGAAACCTCACCCTTATAGTAGGTGAAACATTCAGTGCATCTAACATCTACTAGACCCTGTCTCCCCTAAAAAGAAATGAATCCGAAGTCACCCCTCATGGTGCCTTCAAAAACAATACTCATTGCGCCAAAGAAAGGTTTGGCTCATTCAATAAAAACTCATGTGGTATATCTGTTGTGAATGCATCATGGCATGCTTATAGCATCACCAGTAGTACCAGAATAGAGCTCAGCAACCATAAGGAAAAGATAGTTACACCAGAAGAATTGCCCATTAAGCGTGATCACATATCTATATACATTTTGATCACTAATCTTGATGGAAACTCAATGTCGGGAAAGATTGTAAGGGCACCCAAGCAAGCAACATCCGTTTGGAAAAAAAACGCGACGAAACGGCGAGCATGATGTTTGGTGTGGCTGGCGATCACACCCAATTTCACAAGGGATAAACCGACCAAATGCCGCAAGCTCGGCTTTGCATGACTTTCTTCCACCCCATCAAAAAAAACATGTTGGCTCCGAGAGTCTCATGATTGAAGCGTACTTCAACCAACCTTCGGCTCCCTTTCGATCGCGCTCTCTCTCATCATTGAGGACTGGCGTGCACGTGCCACACAATAGATAGTAAATAATAAGCAAAGTTCTGACATATGTGTAAATGTTTACATGTATATGTAAATATATATTTATTTATTTATTTATTGATTTATTTATTTTATTTATTTATTTATTTACATATGTATATATATATATACACATGGTCCATATTGCACAAACACATTATTATATGAGTTTGCTTGTTTTAAAGTATATGCTTCGCAAGAAAATGTTATATGTACATATATATATATATGTGTGTATGGTGTGAGGTGTACATGCGTGTGTATATAAGCACGTAATATTTGTATATGTTTGTGTATGACATATTTTGTCAATGCGATATTAGTTTGAATTTTGGTTGATTTTACTAGTAGACCCCAATCCTGTGTACCTCCACTCCCATTCTCGTCTTAAGTCTTAAGATATACCCCCCTAAAAGTAGATGGCGCAACTCCAAAACCAAAATACCCATAAGATGGCACCGCGCGGTGAGAAAGAAAACGGCGCTATTTTAGCTGGAACATAAAACGAGTTCCGCCAATTGAAAAAAAGTCACCCTACTTTAAAATGAGAAGGTAGATTGCGCAACTCGTTTTGGGCCTATT